CTACATCTATTTAGTTCATGTTGGCAGTGTGAACTGGATGTTGCATCACAATATATTTACATGATGAAAGAATTTTACAAATAAAATCTCCCTTCTCAACATTATTTTTCCATATGCTGAGTTATGTGTATTTATTATGGTTAACCATTACTCCAAAGATGATAATCTTCACTGGACTTCTAGTAAAACAATCAGCCTTACTGAGCCCAAACTGAAAGTATCATCTATGCCAGTGACCTTACTAGGTTTGCCGCTCTTGGTTTCCCGAACTGCGGAGGAGCTCTTGATGGGACACACATCGCAATCCATGCACCGCACCATCGAGCAGCCCAGTTTATAAACAGGAAAGCCTACTATTCCATGGTGCTGCAGGCCCTGGTTGACCACCGGGGACACTTTACGGACATTTGTGCCAGGTGGCTGGGGCGAGCACATGCTGCCTGCATATTCAGGAACTCTTACCTGTACCGCAGGTTGCAGGCAAGAACATTTTTCCCCCAGCGGCACCTTTTTCCCCCTCCCCGCTCCAGGTTTTCAGTCCCCTACCACCTCAGTTAAACGCCACTTTTGTCGACAAAACCCTGTAGTCTAGACACACCCTGGAAGCTCTCCTGAGAAGAAAAGCTATATTTAGGCAAACACCATTGTAAGATACACAGGTTTTATTTTTCACTAATGTAACCAAGACTCAGAGAAGATTTTTACTTACATTTTGAAAGGGTATGGATCAGGTCATGGAGATGGGAATCTCTCGCATCAAAAGTTATCTTAACCTCTTAAAAGTAATCTTTAAAAAGTATGGATATTTTACAACATAGATAGTGAGATTTTCTTTGCCTTTGATCTATTCAACAGGTAAAGACAAGTATTACCAGTGTACTAGAGAAGTCTGGCCAAATACATAATCACATCCATACTACCTGAATATCTCTAGCTGTGGGAGGCTAGGAAGAAATTTCCCCTGTGAAACAGAATACTCAATAGTAGTCTACTTCACGGTTTCTCAAAACGTCCTGTCTTCTATCAAGCACTGGACATTGACAGTGAAGTAGATGGATCACTGGTATGGTATGGTTTTACCTATATGCACATATTTCTTTAAATCCAGTAACATTCTGGGACATGATTCTCCATTTCCTTTTATTTGTTTAATTCAGTTTAATTAAAGCAAGGTATAAGAAGTAAAGATAGTATAATGCAGAAGAAAAATCAAGCTCTTCACTGAAACCAAAATGTGTGTCTAAAACTCCATCCAGTGGTGCAGTATTTCTCGTTACTTCTGGCACGTAAGAATGGAGGTAGTTTCCAAGAAAATTATTCCTGAAGAAATGAAGAGAAGCTAGGCTCATTATGAGGTCATCTCTGTACTGAGATCTGAAAGTTGAGGAGATGTCCTCAGCATGACAGAGGTGGACATGATGTCTGTCACTTTTTGAGAGTAGATAGGAAATACAAAAGAATGATACTGTTTTAATGACCTTGAAGATTCTGGTACCAATAATTTTTTTCTGGATCTACTCCTGAACCTTAAACAGATCTTGCACTTAGATAGGATGTGCATATCTCCCAAACAATGGGTATAGGAAGATGATTGTCACTCATGAGGACAGGTTCCTGGGAAGTGAAGCTAATTTGAATTCAAAGGTTCCAGGCATATTTTGGGGGAAACAAATGGGCACTGCCACTGAAAATTTCTGGTCAAAGGAGTATGGGGCACATGCACTCCTGAAGTGGAGCTTCCACTGGGACATTACTTAGCAAAGAATTGTACCTATTTTATTGATGGGGAATAGAGGAACAAAATTATTAAGTGGGATCATTCATGTACTTAAATAGGAAGTGTTTGCAGAATCAGGAACTAAATGACTTGTCCAGTGTCACACAGGTGACAGAATTAGAAATTGAACCCAGATCTCCTGAGTCCCAACTCAGGTCTTAAAAACATAGAGCCCTGAGAATGGTTAGAAAACATGCTTTAAAGTAACAAAGGCAAGGTACTCCATCTGTTCAGAGTAACAAAGAGAAGGTTAAAAGGTGATTTGATCAGATTCTGTAAGAACCTACCTATGGGACAGAAATTTAACAATGGGATCCTCACTTTCGTAGACAAAGAGAGAAATAGACCCAACGTCTAGACAAGGAAGCAAGAAAAATTCAGACTGGAAAGAGAACGCACCATTTTAACAGTGAAGATAATTAATGATTGGAACAATTTAGCCAGTGACATGATGGACTCTCCATTAATAGAAATTTTAAAATCAAGGTTGTATGTTTTTCTGAAAGATCTGCTGTGGATCACACAGGAATTAAGTCAGAGCAGTTCTGTGGCCTCAGAAGACCAGATGAGATCAGTGGGCCTTTTGGCTTTAGAATCAATGAACCACAACACCATCCTTCCTTTCAGCTAATAAGATGGTGACAAAGCTCAGAAATCCTCACTCCAGGTCCCTGCTTTAATCACTAGACCACATTCCATCCTATTTCTCTATTTGCCCCACACATCCATGTTTCTAAAGAGCGACAATACCATTTAAGTGTTGCTTTTCAACACATTCTTTATTTCCATATCCAAACTCAGACTATTTCATCTTGTCACAGACCATTTCATCATGAATGTCAGTGTAGCCACCCAAAGGTCAAGTCAAGTCAAGTTTATTTACTGCCACACATGCCTTGCACTCTGACACATTGTTAAGATATATAAATAAAGAAAGAACATTAAACACACAAGACATCACATAAATGACTCTGTCCCTTGCACATTCTAAATAAATACTTGGAACTAAGCAGATACTGGCAATATAACTATTTGTTTAGTGAAATTAAATCATATGTATTTCCAGTATTATAAACTTATGAAACTCATTTAATCAATCCTCAATTCAGTTGAGCCTCTTCTAAATTAAACATATATATAATATAAATAATTATTAGAGAACCTAAATTGCCAACATTCACAAGTACTATTGAAAATGAACTATTTAACCATTTCTCCAAAAGCATCAGAATTAGAAATAACTTTTTTATGGTAATACACTCTCAAGAGCATCTTTTCCTTTCTCCATGATCATTGGTTTCCTCTCTTTCTGTCTTTCAATAGTATGTTGCCATTACATAGTATGTTACTCATTACATGATCCATGGAGATTCATTGATTCATAGGCCAGGTCTATACTAGACCTGGAAGATCAATTTAAGGTGTGCAACTCCAGATACGTAAAGAGCATAGCTGTAATTGACTTATTTTACTCCTCACAAATCAAGGAGTACTGGCACTGACCAGGGGCACCATCAGCATTTGATTTAGTGCGTTCTTACTAGACCTGCTAAATCAATGTCAGAAAATCGATTTCTGGTGTGATAAGTATTATCGTGACCATAGAAGGACATAGGGCTCCACTGTGATCATCTAATCTGACCTCATGCATAACATAGGTCATAGAACTTATCTGAATTAAGTCTACTTTAAGTCTACTAGTTGTAGTTGAACTTCAGCATATCTATTAGAAAAATAACCAATCTTGATTTAAAGATTATCAGTAACAGAGACTTCCCCACAACTCTTGGTAAATTATTCCCATGGTTAATTCTTCTCACTATTAAAAATTTGCACTGTATTTCTAATCTGAGTTTGTCTTGCTTCAGCTTTCAGCTGCTGCATCTTGTGTTACCTTTATCTATTAGATTCAAGAGCCCTCTTTTCTGTTCATTTCTGTTGAAGATTTTGATCGTCACCCTTTAAACTTTGTCTTTGACAAACTAACTAAATTGAGCTCCTCGAGTGTCTCAGTTTATGGAATTTTTCCAATCCTTTTATAATTCTTGTGGCTCTATCCCAGTTTTCAGCATCCTTCTTGAATTGTGGACACCAAAAAGAGACATACCGTATTTTCCGGCGTATAAGGCTACTGGGCATATAAGACGACCCTCTAATTTTTTAGTTAAAAGATAGGTTTTCGTCTTATACCCCAGTGCCCCGCCGCCGCTTCGGCTTTGCTCCCAGTGCCTCTGGTCTGCTGGGGACCGTCTCCAGCAGACCAGGGACACCGGGAGCAAAGCCTCTGAGGACGCCCCGGCAGCGGGACAGCCTCGGCGCGCCTGGGCTGCCCCGCCGCCTGTATACCCGGCGTATAAGACGACCCCCGATTTTTGGGGGATGTTTTTTAGCATCAAAAGTCGTCTTATACGCCGGAAAATATGGTAGTATTTCAACAATGGCTGAACCAGTGTTAAATACAGAGGCAAAACAACCTCCATTCTGCTAGTGGATATTCCTCTTTCTGTTCATATAAGGATCACTCAGCCCTTTTGACCACAGCATCTCACTGGGAACTCATGCTCAGCTCTTTATATCTGAGAACTGCCAAGTTTGATTATTTCTTTCACCCCCAAATTGGGAGGACTGACTATTGTCTCTGATTTGCTTTATAGTATTAAAGAGAGGACAAAGTTCTCCTCAGCTTTTGGACTACAGTCAGATCTCCAATGTACATCCTTCAGTCATTCCATATATAGCTCTTCCATTACTGTAAGTAGGATCAAATACTAACTAAACTAGAATGTGATGTTAAGGATCAAATAGAAAAATTTAGCCTATAACATGGGAGTTTTTGCACTTCAATATTTTAAATGTACGTCAGAGGACTTCTTTTTTCCTTATCCCTTTTCATGCAGATATGTATATTTAATTGTCTAAAAACTTAAACAGGTACATTCTATTCAGAGATCTCCAATAGAAATTTTGTCACAGTAGTCAACTTCATCATGCTCCTTAATATCATACCTTAGTAGCATACAGTATCAGTTTTGCTGATTTGTTTGTATTTTCTTATGTTTTCCATTATCCGTCAGCCTAGATTTTACTTAGATTTTCCACTTACATGTTTTTGTTTATTCAAGGCTCAGAACACCCATTTCCCCCATTGGTTTAAAGTAGTAAAAATGGAGAGTATTTCTGGTAAACAGAGTCAAAATTTAAGGCCGTAGCAATTTTCTCTCACCTGTTTTTCTCATGAATTTTCAAGATTTCATGTGTCTGCTGCAGAAGTTGTTTTTCCAGCTTGTATGTAGATAATGAATTTTCCAGCAGCTGAATTTCAAGACGGGATGTTTGATTTAGTACCTTTAGGATAAATAAAAGCATTAAAACTTGCAGTGTTCTAGTATTACCATTCTTAAGTCTTGAACAGTGAGTTACACATTTATTCTACTTTATGGCAGTTTCTCATTGAAATAGTCCTTTCATGTTTTAAATTGAAATAGTTCATGTTTTAAAATATTTTTAAACATGGGGCCAGATCCTTGCCTGGTGTACATCAAAGTCAATGGAGCTATACTGGTAAACAGCTGAAGCTCTGGGCTTATAGTTGTAGCATATGCCATTAAAAGGGGGTAAACTATATGTATACAAAACCCCAGACTAAATATAAACACATAACTAGATCATAAGGGTATCGGAGTAGCTGGTCAGGATTTGAACACATGCCATGTTGCATTCACTGTTTTGTAACTAGAGCTTCTATGACAGCATTCTCTCAAGGTTTCTCTTTTGCAATGTTGCCATGCACTGAATATCTGCTTACGCCAACACCACTGCATAATTACACAGAGGGTTTATCGACACTTGCAGCCTATTTTGGAATTGCAAATCAAGCCCAGGATTTAAATATCCCACGCTTGATTTGCATCTTCCTGGCCGAGTGCCATTTTTGAAATTTACAAGCCCAGAATAACTACCCGTGTCTACACGCGGCAGTGAAATGGGTGTTCAAAATTAAGCCCTATTTTGAACTACCTGTTATTCCTCCTGCAATGAGGTTTAACAGGTAGTTTGAAATAGGGCTTTATTTCGAACACCCGTTTCACTGCTGCGTGTAGACGCGGGCAGTTATTCCGGACTTGTAAATTTCAAAAACTGGCGCCCGGCCGGGAAGATGCAAATCAAGCGTGGGATATTTAAATCTCAGGCTTGATTTGCAATTCCAAATGCCTACATTTGCTGCCCTATTCCGAAATAGGCTGCAAGTGTAGACATACCCAGATTGTGGAGAAGATAAGAGGCACTGATCCCTCAAGTTGTTCAATACAGTTGTCTTTGACTTCTCTGGGCTCTGGATGCAGTGTCAATGATCTGCTCTCTTGCCACAACTTACAGTTCCAGGCCCTAAAAAGTATTACTGAAATGGCAATACATTTTTAAATGGAAAGTAACAGATTCTAACAACCGAACTATTATTTTTCATCTAAAAAAAAAAAAAAAAAAGGAAGGAAATGTTCAATCAGAACACCAGTACTTTGACTTCTCTGGGCTCTGGATGCAGTGTCAATGATCTGCTCTCTTGCCACAACTTACAGTTCCAGGCCCTAAAAAGTATTACTGAAATGGCAATACATTTTTAAATGGAAAGTAACAGATTCTAACAACCGAACTATTATTTTTCATCTAAAAAAAAAAAAAAAAAAGGAAGGAAATGTTCAATCAGAACACCAGTAATCCAAAAGTCCATATAACAGAAGGAAGACCACTGCTGACATGCAAGCTCTGAAATGAATGTGGTGTCCATTGAAAAGTGCACAATAACATTTTCCAAAAGACTTTTGGATAGGTCATTATCAATATCATCGTGTGGGCAATGCTTTCCCATAGAGTCAACCTCATGTGAGAAAGAACAAAGCAGAAGACAGTCTAATAATGCTTCCATTTATTTGAAAATGTTGAGATCTGTTCTCTGAGACGCCTTTTCTGCCTTAGCTGGGAGGTATGCCATGGAGAAGTAAAGGTAGGACAAGAAGTAATGGTCTTAATCATCAGCAAGGATGATTTAGGTTACATATTATGAAAAACTTTCTAGCTGTAAGGGGAGTTAAGCACTGGAATAGGCTTCCAAGGGAGATTGTGGAAACTCCCTCACTGGAAGTTTTTAAGAACAGATTGGGTAAAAACAAGTATGGAATAGGCTATGTTTTCTTTGTCCTGCCTCTGAGCAGCGGGCTGGATTTATTGACCTTTCAAGATCTCTTTCAGCCCTATATTTCTAAGATTTTCTTATTCTAAATGGAACAGAATCAGAAAGGCATAAATGGGCACATAATACCCATTGAACCCTGTGCAGAGCCAAATTTGGGTAGCTCATGCAGAGTCATAAAAAGATTTTCTACACACTACTGTTCCCTTGTAAGGCATGTGTTCCAAAGTCAAAAGTCTCAGCATGTAATGTTGTAGTTAGATACTAAAATGCTATATGCAGTGGTGCAATAGAACAGATTTGCTCCAACATTTTCGTAAAATTATATAAAAGCTAATGCCATTTGAGAAGGTGACTTTTATGAACCAATTTATGAAAAAAAAAAAGCAGCCGAGAATGCGAGTAAGACTATTTTGTCATCACCATGTGCATATCATCTCTAGCTAGAGTAAATTAAGTGTCCTTTCTCTGGTAATTGCTATTGTTCTTCTTTATATTGCAATGTGATTATGTAATAAATTGGGAATGGTATTGTAAACTTGGGTCAGGACTTGACTACAGACAGTATGATCTATTTCAAACAGTTCACTACAACAAACCAAATAAATATAACACATGAATACATTTGTTTTAAATATACAGTTTGAATGCATTGCAACTGTTAAAGATGCTACACACTACAAACAGCACGGGGAAGTCCCTGGAAAAAAAATAATGTGAACTATACATTGACAGAAAAGTCAAAAGACAAAAAATAGTATATACTTCCCTATGATTATCATTAGCTCTCAGTTGAGACAGTATTCTGGATACATAACTGGTTATAAGAACAGAACAATTGCCAACTAGTTTGCATTTAAGTTATTAAGATCATGGGTGAGTGGAGCCTGTTCAAGTTATGCCCTTTAGAATGGTCTTATATTCATGTCACATTGTAAACCTTTATAGAATAACAAATGGTACAACTACATAGCCCCTGGCAAAAGAAAGAATGGTTGTCCCCCTCTCAGATCTGTAAAAACTACACATGTACAATACTTTTCAAATGGCTGGAAATATTTCAGAGAAAATAAATAAAAATTCTCAAAATAAAATGGTAAGTAATAACATAGATCAAAGGAGATATTTTAATCTAAAACTATTTATTTAGCTTGACACTTGAATCATTCACAGTTGGTAGCTATGCTGTTTATTTGAAGTCAAATGCTTGTTAGCTTTTTGGTCAGTCCAGCCTGACAAACACATACAAAGCTAAATATATCAACCAATCCTCATTAAGTATAAAGAAAAATACATAATGAGAATCAGTCAGCCTTGTTGTTGCTACCAATAAACCGAAAGTGTATATTGTTTCTTGGAGCACAGTGTTGAAATCTACTGTGTGATGATGTGGTAAAAGGAGAAGGTGGAGAAGGTTCTCTGCAGTAAATGCTTGAAGAATATGGCCCTTGGGACAGACCTGGGTTTCAACATCTGTGAGTTTTCTCGTCTGCTCTGCCGTCTGACTTAAGAGGCTGGTTCCTATCTCAAGCATGGTGGCTGTGTGGTTCTGAACCGCACTCTGCTGTATCTGGGCCATCTCCGACTTCATATTTTCCACAATGTAGTTCTCGAGCTGTGGAAGAGAAAAGGTAATGACAAGGGCATTTTAAGGAATAGGTACCAATTGTGCACACTTCTAATGACAGAGCAATGATTAGCTAGGAATGCTACTGCAAGAAGTTTCAGATCTGTCACTGGGGGCCATCATTCCATACATAAGGCCATTGGTTTTCAGAGCTTGAAAGGATGGCTAGATCATCTAGTCTGACCTCTTTCATATCACAGACCCTAAACCTCACCCAGTTATCCCTGTGTTGAGCCCATAAATCACCTTACTGGCTGGTTCTTTAAGGCTCAATTTCACCTTCATAGAAACAGTAGGTTTTTGCAATTTGCCTCTCAAACTTTCACACGCTGAACTTGGAAAGTGACAAAAGAACATATGCAAATTTGAATAAGCCCATATCTTTTTCTAAGCTTTTTTGAAAATAGGCTACATATTCCCCCGGTGACTACTACTAATACTACAGTTCTTATTGCTATACGACATGGAATAATATTATTGTTAACATAATATTAAAAATATATCAAGGTCTATAAAACATGGTCCCTGTCCTGAAAAGATCATAGTCTAAATCAGGGCTGGGCAAAATATGGCCCAGCGGCCAGATCCAGCTCTCCAAGCTTCCAGATCCAGCCTGCAGAGCACCTCGCTGGGACCCTCAGGAAATAGCTGCTGCTGTTTAAAGGGAGGTCTGTGTGGCTTTCTGGTCTGGAGGGAAGGAGAGGCTTGTGTAAACTCCCCACTCCTAGCCCAAACCTTAGCTCCTATTCACTGGAAACAACCAGCCAATAGGAGCTGAGAGATTGGCCTGGAGGATGGGGACAGTGTAAGACTCTTCCCCCTCCCAGAACTGAGAGCTCCATGGAGAGAAGAGCCTGCAGTTTAAAGTGATCTGGGGCTGCAGCAAGCAGGGAGCCCAGCCTGCTTTGGGGTGCTGAAGGGATGCAGGCCAGGAGACACTGAGGTAAGTGTCTCTTCACCAAAGCCTGCTTCTGGAACCCTGTCCCTCCTACAACTCAACTCCCTCCCCAGGTCACCATAAAAACTCTCTGCACTCCCCTGTCCTACGTCACAACTCCCTCCCAGACCCAGTGCTCCCTCCTATACACACCACAGGCCAGAAACCTCTCCTGCACCCAAACACTCTCCTAGATCCTGTACCCTATTCCCCTGCCCCAGGTCACCAACCAAACCCTCTGCAGTCTGCACCAACTTTTTCCCTCCTCCCAAGTCAAAATACCCTCCCAGACTTTGCATTCCCTTCTAGAATCCCTCCTCCAAATCAGAATCCTCTCCTGCACTCATACTCCCTTCCTGGCCCAGGTCACAAGTCCCTCCTTCACCCAAACTCCCGCTCAGACCTCATACCATCTCCTACAGGCCAGTCCCTTCCCCCGTGTGCCCTTCTGCACCCAACTTCCATCCTAGACCCCACACCTCCTCCACAGAAAAATGCAGCCCTTGACCACTTTCCAAAATCTTGGAGTGGCCCCCCCAAAAATTATTGCCCACCTCTTGTCTAAATAGACAATGTATAGAAACAAGATGGGGGAGTGGGGTGCTATCAAAAGTAATTGAGAAGTGATATCCAGCATGTGGTTAGTTAACTCCAGAGTTTTTTTAAAATGTACATGTGCATTTGCTTTGTTAACACATATTTGATGGAAAGACTGGGTCTTAGGGAGTTCAGGACAGGAGCATATTTTAAGGGGGAACTTCAAAGAGCTAAGGATGGCAATAGGAGACATTGGCATTGAAGTGATTAGAGAAGTGGGCCTTGTGAATTATTTCAACCTTAGAGGAACTTAGAGCTAGTTGTAGCACCTAAGGGATGGTAGGTCAAATGAGAACTGGGAGACTAGAACTGTACACTACCTTAAGAGCTAAGAACTGAGAGCTTCCTCATGCTAGGGGAATTCTCAGCTAGGCGCTGGTCCAGATGTCAGTGCTTTTATACTGCTAGAGTGACATAAAAGTAACATAAAGGAGCTCAAAGAGGGGACAACAACTATGTTCTTTCTTCAATGCATAGGTAAGAAACTTGCCAGGCATTAAAGTCCTCTTGTATTGTCATTTAGATCTGGTTAGATGTTGTTGCATACCTATACAATTATAATGGATTCTAAAAAACAAAAGAATCTATTGGAGGTTGCACATGAGATGCACATCTGCAATAGCTGTTAATACTCTGTCGCTATTGTCCGTAACAAATAATTGCTTTGAAACAGTTAATGAAATCATTAGATTGGTCACGTATAAACATAACGTTCACATGTACTTTATGAATCTCTTACTAATCACTTATTAACTTTAGCAGTCGTCAGTCTTCAGTCAGTGTGGTATTAATTATCAGCATGTGTTCATTTCACAAGCAAACAACTCTACAATAAATTCATTTTTATTTGGCAGCCCTTAAGTGGTTCGGTACTAGGACCAGTTTTGTTCAATATCTTTATTAATGACCTGGATGAGGGGATGGATTGCACCCTCAGCAAGTTTGTGGATGACGCTAAGTTAGGGGGAGAGGTAGATATGCTTGAGGGCAGAGATAGGGTCCAGAGTGACTTAGACAAATTGGAGGATTGGGCCACAAGAAATCTGATGAGGGTCAACAAGGACAAGTGCAGAGTCCTGCACTTGTGACAGAAGAATCCCAAGCATAGTTACAAGCTGGGGACCAACCAGTTAAGTAGTAGTTCTGCAGAAAAGGACCTGGGAGTTACAGTGGATGAGAAGCTGGATATGAGTCAACAGTGTGCCTTTGTAGCCAAGAAGGCTAATAGCATATTAGGTTGCATTAAGAGGAGCATTGTCAGCAGATCCAGAGATGTCATTATTCCCCTTTATTCAGCTTTGGTGAGGCCACATCTGGAGTATTGTGTCCAGGTCTGGGCCCCCCAGTACAAAAAGGATGTGGACGCATTGGAGAGGGTCCAGTGGAGGGCAACCAAAATGATTAGGGGGCTGCAGCACATGAAGCCCCGTTTTTCTAGAATAATAGCTGTAATTCTGGAAAAACAACACTAGCATCCACACAGCGATTCCATTATTTAAAATGAAAATCAAAATAATGAAGGGGTTTTTCCAACATTGGTAAACCTCATTCCACGAGGAATAATGCCTCTTCCAAAAAAGATTTTTCGGAAGAGGGTGTGTGTGGACACTCCATTGCTTCTATGTCGAAATAGCTCCTCACCAGGGCCATTCTAAAGTTATTCCTCCCCAGTGCCTCCTGGGGCTCTAAATCAAGATAGCACATCCACATTAGGGAAGCCTGCCTCGAACTAATTTTGAAGCTTCCCTGTAGTGTGGATGCTCTATTTAAAAATAAACGTTTCCAGAAGATATCTTCCAGAACAGCTTATTTTGAAAGAAGCTTGCAGTGTAGACTTAACCTAGGTTGTACTGATGGTGGACAGGCAAGGGTTGTTGTGATTGAAATAGCCCCTACCCTGAACAGAGCTCACTATGGGAGAATAATCAAGCCCTGCATATGAATAACCATGTTTATGTTACTTAAAATCTCCTGGAAGGGATGCTGCTTATTCCCAAGCCCCAGACCTGTCAGCAATGTGGTTTCATTTGGTTAAATCCCAGCAGAGGATTTCAAAGTCTTGGGGCAGAAAACAGCTTTAAAAAGAGCTGGGTCATATTAATGTGAGAGAAAGGCAGGGACTGTTGACCAGAACCAAAGCAGGGATCTTTGAAGACATGAAGCACTTCATTGTTATTGTCTGTTGTTGTTGCTTTGATATCGTCTGTGTGCAGAATGAAGGGGTTTTGGCCAGAGTGGTTGCTGGTTGTGTAATCTGTTTGAACAAGGACCCTCTAACTAAACTGGACACCCCCAAAACAGGTTGTTTGGTTTGCTTTGTTCTTTTTAGTGAGAGCCAGATTGGGTTTTTTTCTCTAGTCACTTAGGTTCTGGCCCTGCTATAACACGGGACTATACTGTCGACAGAGAGATGTAGATTAGGCAGGTCAAAATTGCTAATGTAGCAGGGATTTAAATATTCCATGTTTCATTAGCATAAACATGGTTGCTACTTTTTTTGAAACGGAGCTTTTTTTAAAAAAAACTGCTGTCTAGACATGGATCTGTCAAAAATAAACCCTTTTTTGACAGATCCTGTAAACCTCATTTTTTGAGAAATATAGGATCTGTTGGAAAAGGGTTTATTTTCGACAGATCCGCATTTAGACTGCCTTTATTTACCTAAAAAGCTCCATTTTGAAAAAAAGTGGCAGCCATATTTATGCTAATGATGCACGGAATATTTAAATCCTTGCTTCATTAGCAATTTCAACATGCCTAATCTACATCTATCTGTTGACAGGAATGTGTAGTCTAGACGTACCCTAAGACAGTGTCACACTAGAAAATGCTGACTTTGTTTCTGACCTACACAAGCGTTGTACTAACATCGGGTATGTCTACACTAGCCACCTTCGTTCGGATATTTCAATCCCGGGCTTCATTTGCAAGTTCAAATGCCTACATTAGCCACCCTAGTCTGGACTAGGGTGGCTAATGTAGGCATTTGAACTTGCAAATGAAGCCCGGGATTGAAATATCCGAACGAAGGTGGCTAGTGTAGACATACCCGATGTTAGTACAACGCTTGTGTAGGTCAGAAACAAAGTCAGCATTTTCTAGTGTGACACTGTCTTAGGGTACGTCTAGACTACACATTCCTGTCAACAGATAGATGTAGATTAGGCATGTTGAAATTGCTAATGAAGCAAGGATTTAAATATTCCGTGCATCATTAGCATAAATATGGCTGCCACTTTTTTTCAAAATGGAGCTTTTTAGGTAAATAAAGGCAGTCTAAATGCGGATCTGTCGAAAATAAACCCTTTTTCAACAGATCCTATATTTCTCAAAAAATGAGGTTTACAGGATCTGTCAAAAAAGGGTTTATTTTTGACAGATCCATGTCTAGACAGCAGTTTTTTTTAAAAAAAGCTCCGTTTCAAAAAAAGTAGCAACCATGTTTATGCTAATG